ACACCCTGGACAGGTCGCCAGTCCATCGCAGGGCAGACAGACAGACATACACATTCACACCTAGGGGCAATTTAGCGTGTCCAATTGGCCTGACTGCATGTTTTTGGACTGTGGGAGGAAACCAGAGGAAACCCACGCAGACACAGGGAGAACAGGCAAACTCCACACAGAAATGACCCTGGTCACCCAGCCGGGAATCGAACCCAGGCCATTCTTGCTGTGAGGCGACAGCGCTATCCACTGCGCCACCGTGCCGCCCCTGGGAAAAATATTTAATTTTAAAATATTAAAAGTCAAGGCTGAACTGAGAGCCCTCAAAAACAGACATTGCATGCATAGCTACTGTGAAAAAGGGTAAAGGACTTGTGGCTGCATGAATGAAGAAATCATTTAAGAATGCTCCTCCTATACTTCCACTATAAGCTTTTAGTGGTACCACTTTAAAATAAAACCACCATTTTAAAGAGTTTATGTGTGGTTTAAAATGAGTTTATTAATGGTTATGAATTATATCATGAACTACTATACTACTATAAAAAATAATCAATACGCAGTTCTAACACAGAAATAAAATGGGAAACAGTGAACTGTTAAATCTGATGAATATGAATATGTGACAGGTTTAATGCTGACTGATGGAGGAGACAAAGCAAGATAAGTAGCTAGCAAGATCTGAGGTTTAATTGTACAGGTGATTGTGGGCTCACTATATGGCAAGCAACAGGTCGTTGCCCTTTTTGTTTTGTTATGTTATAACTGCTTATAAATTATTTTAAGGTGCCTATGACTAAATATAAACAAAACTATTAGTAAACATATTTTAAACAAAAGTTATTATCCACTTCTTTTGTAATTTTAAACAAATACTGTTAAAACATGTATGTCCATTGCAACAAAGAACAAATATAATTGTATTACAATGACATGCCAAAAGTCATGGGACAGGAACTAGTATCGTGTAGGACACCCTCTAGCCCGGCGAAGTGCAGCAACTAGATGTGCCATTGATTCCACAAGTTGACAGAAGACGTCTGGATAGCCACATACAGAACTGTGGTGTTTGTAGGTGGAGGATCTCTGGTGCAAATGGACCTCTTCACCACATCCCATAAGTGCTCGATTTGGGCAAATGTGCAGGCCACATCATTCATCGGAACGCTCCAGAATGCTCCTCAAACCAGTTCTGGACAACTTGGGCCTGATGGCAAGATGCATTGTCCTACTGGAATATCCCATCACTGTAGGGGTACATGAAGTCCATGAAGGGCTGCAAATGGTCACCAAGCAGTGAAACAGTCAATGACTTGTTCAGGTGGACCAGTGGACCCAACCCACCCCCACCATTATGGAACCACCACCAGCCTGCACAGTGCCTTGTTGACAACTGTCTGCGCCACACACGAACCCTACCATCAGCCCAAAACAATTGGTTCTGTGACTCATCTGACCATGCCACATGTTAACAGTCCTCTAAGGTCCAGTTCGCAACCTTACGAGCCCAGGTGAGGCGCTGTGTCCGGTGTCATGGTAACAGAGGCACTCTAGTGTGTCTTCTGCTCCCATGTCCCATGGTTGCACTGACCTGGAGGATATGCATGTGGGGCCTCCTGCATTGAATGTGGATGTGATTTCTGCCAGAGTCACCAATTCTAGCCAGATGCCGCCGGTCATGATCATTAAGCACTCGTGGGCAGCCACTGCGCTGTCCACTGTCGGGGGTAATGCCTTCTATGATGTAGTCCCAGTACATATGTGACACTGTGGATCGAATGTTAAATGCCCACACAACTTTAGAAAACAAATTTCCCATCCGTCTGGCACCCACTACCATGACTCATTCAAACTCCGACAATTCACAACGCCTTGCCATGAGCACGCTAGCCACTGTTTAGCCTCACAACTTATACAGGTGTGGGCATTCCCAAGCCGCCCACTGAGGTAACGCCGCTTCATAATCAGTTTATATACTGCTATCCCGTGACTTTTGGCATGTCAGTGTATAAAAAAACATCTGAAACATTTACACTATCAAGTCCCAAATTAAGTGCATGTATAAAAGTATAAGTGCATGTGGTGTTTTCAGTAGAAAGCAGCAATAAGAGTAACAAATACATAATAGATTATTTCTTTGTAACATCTGGCTCACTGTAACCCTCTCTAAACAAGAAAAGATTTCTGGCCTTTCCCAGCAGAAGCTCCTCTTACCATGTAGAGAGATTTTACTGAATTCCTCCTTGCAGAATTCCTCTCTCTTTCAGATAAGAGAGAGATTTCTTTACTCCATCAAATGAGAGATGTTGATGGACAGTGATGCTGGAGGAGTCCTCACATCCAGAAGTGACTCTCAGAGACTGGAAACTCTATAGACAGAAAACTGAATGGAGAATGATGAAGGAGGACAAGGGCATTAAATGTTACACCATATTACACCCAAAATAACCTTTAGAATTCAGAAATAGGTATTGTTCTCATAATAAACTCTTGGAAAAAGCCAATATAGAACCTTTCTGAGGAGCAGGTTCTTCTGCAGAGGAGTGACTGTTACCTGGAGGAAATGGATGGGATCCTCTGTGAGTGAAAGCTGCTCCAGCTCAGTGTTTCTCCTCTTTAGATCATCAATCTCCTGCTGCAGGTTCTCCAGGAGTTCTTCAGCTTGTCTCAGCTGGTTCTTCTCCTGAGTTTTGATCAGCTCTGTTACCTTTTTCTCAATGGAGCGGATCAGCTCAGTAAAGATCCTCTCACTGTCCTCCACTGCTGCCTGTGCAGAGCGCTGTTAGGACACAGACACACAAGATGGAGCTCCATTTAAACACCAGCTCTCATTCACTCTCTCACTGGGACTCTAGATGACTGACTGTCCACATTGTGGATTTATAGGATCAATCTGTGCTCACTACTCACCTCAAGAGTCCCCACAGCCTGTTTCAGCTTCTGCAGCTTCTTCTCTTTCTCCTGGAGTATCTGCTGGGATTTCCTCTGAAACTCCTTTAGCTCATTCTGAGAAATAAATTATGTTCAGTTTTTTGATTAATTTTGACTAAGATAGGATTATATTAACAGAAGCTAATGAGTTAAATCTATGCATGAGCACCACAATTCAAACAAAGCTGTAGAAATGTTGGCAGATGGGGGATGGACAAAACTAGTATAAGGCCCAATTCCATTTCTTATTTTTACCCCTACCCCTTGTTTTCCAGTGTCATCTTGCCCCTCTACAAAATGGGACCCTCAAATAAAAAAGAACATTAACAGGCTACCAGCGCTGCTCTGTAGGCGACCCTGTCGGTCTGCAGTGACAGCAGTGGAGGGTAAAGTTCAACCTCACTGCTAGTCTTTAGTTAAATTTAGGGAATTACATGCATTGCTTTGGTGATATGAAGCTGAAGGGCAAAGTGGTAGGGGCAAGCGGTGAAATGAGACTGGGCCTAAGTTATTTTGAACAGTTCGACTCGATGAGTATTACTAAAGTGAAAGCACAATGTTATACCACTTCCTTATCCAAAACACTTCCACTTTTCATCAGCTGTTCTAAAAGCATTTCCATGAATTCAACAATTGAAACACAAGTATCATTGATTGTTATCACTTTTATCACTTGTCCTAGTGAAACTGGATTACCAGAACTTGATTGTGAAAGATTTGTATTTCTCACCTGTTTTTCAACACTTCCTGCTGCAATTGCAACTGTATCGTGGCCTTTGTGTTCATCCGTTATACACAAGTAACAGATGCAGATGGTTTAAATATTCTTCATCTTCCAGATGATGTATGTTCATATTTTTAATAAATTTGCACAGTGTTAAAAAAAAGCCACGGTATGAAGTTTTACGTTACGTTTATGTCACAACTTCTTCTGTGAGTTTATTGGCTGATTACAAAGCAGAAAACTGATTACTGTCTGACTCGTGTAGCCCCAGAGTTTCCCCATTATCTGATTACTCAAGTGCATGTAAACACACTCAGTGCTATAGTGTTAGTCTTTCATGTATTGTTTTTACACAACAACAAGCTTTGATAACATTGTTTCTCAGCCACATTCTTCCTTGAGTTTTTTCTATCTTTTCAATATGCATAATCCTATAGTACACACTTAAAAATTCGTCAAGGGTTCCTCAAGGGTTACTTACTAAAGGTAGTAGTTCTATATAAAACCACGAACACTCAAAGAACCCTTTAAAGGGTTCTTTGCATTGTGGAAAGGTTCTTCAGGTTGACTGATGGTTCCCTGTAGATGGTTCTGTATAGCACCAAAAAGGGACATTGCAACAATAGAGCCCTTTTGGTGCTAAATAGAACTTTTTTCAAAAAGTTGCTATGATTCATTGTTCTATATAGAACCATTTTATTTGCTAGAGAACCATTGAAGAACCATCTTTTTTAAGAGTGTAAGCTCATTTGCTTGTGGTTTGACCCGTACTTTGCCGATGACTGCTGGATTTGTTTGTAAGCAACACACTCTTTTGTCTCCTGTAAATACATCAAGCATTAGTAAGAACAAACATTGCGTCATATAATGCATCTCAGAACTCTTTAGAAGTGTTTATCAGAAGGTGTGCAGGTTTATCATCTGATTCAGCTTCACTTAGATCAACAGTGTATGTACAGTCTTATCAGGCATGTTTACTATATTTTTCAGGATTTAAACAACAACATTTAGATCATCACAGAACAATGAAAGATGACAGGACCCCTTTCTGGATTCAAGACTGAGGAGGAATGTAACGGGTTCGTAAGGGCAAGTAAAAGGGTGATGTATTATTCATGATAGAAAAAAAAAACCTTTCCCAATATATGATTTATAGCACCTGAAAAATCCACAGATTCTGTATGTTTTACTGAACAGGTTAACACGGGACAACGTAATGATCTGAAACAATATTTACAATCATTTAAATGAAAATTCCTGAATATTGAGATTGATGTGTAAGGCAGATCATACAGCTAATAGGGATGATTTTAACAGTAATACAGACTAAAAGTATGATATAAATGTTCATTAAAAGTCTTTATTCAATATAAAATGCCATTACAGTGAGTAATCAGACGTCTTTTTTTACAGATTTGTAATATTTTACTACCTGCACAAATAATATACTACCAAACCCAGAGATTTCATTTTCATTAGACAACATAAACCTTCATTGTTTATTTTTATTTCATGAATGAGTCACACAGTTTAACTGATGATCCCGGACCGAGCCCAAACCCAGCGTAGAGCGGCTGAGTGAATGTGGTGTGGACTGTGTGTAGGAGGGTCATTGTGTCAGAGACGCTGTAGAAGGACAGAGTTCCTGCACTGTGATCCACATACACTCCTATTCTGGAGGATGATGGAGCTGAGAGCTCAGTCTTAATGTTGTTGTGCCAGAAAGTGAGAGTTTTAGAACAGTCCAGCCTCCAGGACTGATTGTTGTGTCCAAACCTGCATTCAATAACCCGTCCTCTCCTGCTGATCCCTTTATATGACACTGATATGGACACCCATCTCAATTCCCAGTGCAGCCCCCAATCCCCGCTACTCCACTCAACCTCCCAGTAACAGCGTCCACTCACACTCTCCTTACACAACACCTGAGTCCAGTAGTCAAATCTCTCTGGATGGTCAGAGTAACGCTGCTTTCCTCCTCTGTCTGTCACCACTCTGTTCTGCTCAGACAGGCTGAGTTGATGATTTACAGTGTTGGGATCCAGAGTCAGTCGACAGAAATCTAAAATAGTGAAGAAAGAAAAATATTTTAGGTTTTTATTCAAAAATGTACTTTAAGAATCATAAACTGTGAGTGCATGTGTTTGTGAGTGTGTGTTTATCTGTGTGTGTGTGTGTGTTTGTAGTGCTTGTATCTGTGAGTGTGTTTGTAGTGTGTCTCTGTGTGTGTTTGTAGTGTGTGTACTTTCTGAATGTGTATCTGTGTGTGTGTTGTGTGTGTGTTTGTAGTGTGAGTGTGTGTGTGTGTGTGTGTGAGTCTGTGTGTGAGTGTGTGTGTGTGTGTGTTTGTATGTGTCTGTGTGTGTGTGAGATTGTGTGTGTGTGTGTGTGTGTGTGAGTGTGTTTGTGTGTGTGTGTGTGTGTGTGTGTGTGAGTGTGTGTGTGTGTGTGTGTGTGTGTGTATCTGTGTAGGTGAGTGTGTGTGTGTGTGTGAGTGCGTGTATCTGTGTGTGTGAGTATGTGAGTATGTGTGTGTGAGTCTGTGTGTGTGTGTGTGGGGGTGTGTTGTTCATACACTGTAGAAAATCTTCTCTGGTTTTTGGCTCTGAGGATAAGATGGTCTGAACTGCTGCAGCTGTGGAGACACACAAACACACTGATTGAACAGAATGAATGAAGGAAACTCAAACACTCGCTCAGAAAGACAGAAGCAGCTAAAAGACACACAGCACAGTCTCCATGTTTAAATCAGATCAGTTTGGGTTTCACACAGGATTCAGTTATTCTTTACCTTTTATTGAGTTCCTGTGTTACTCTGACTGTCTCTCTCTCACTGTTCAGTTCAGAGTGATTTATTAGCATTTACATTACATAATATCACTGTAATTGCAAAAAGATAAACATTAAGGCAATAGAATAACACTAATAATAACACTAATAAAATTATAATAGTATTATTCAAAATAACATGTACATGACTTATACAACAACCACAAACCCAACATATACGCCCGAACTAAGACCAACTGTGTGAACATGCATATACACAATATACACAATATACACATGCAGTGCACTGAAAAGTGTAAAATTTAATTTGTCATTTTCTTTTAACATGTTAAAATGTGATTTTCATTGTTTTTTTAGTGAATAGCATTTATGTTACATTTTAGCACCTTAACTGCAAAAAGATCAACATTTAGCCAATAAAATAAAAGTAATAATATTCGGAATAACATTAAGTTGTACAATAACCACAAACACAACATATAAGTCTGAACAAAGACCAACTCCAACATTCATATACACAATATACACAATACACACACAGTGAACTGAAAAATTGTTTTGTTTGTATTATTTTAATGAAAAACATTTCTGAGTGAGGAAGTGTTCACTCTAAAGGAGAGAGCACAGTTCAGTGACGCACTGAGTGGGGTGTTCAATAAATGTCGTACTGCTTCACTACAATGGCTGAATAAGCTAAGAGAGAGGAGGATGTTGGGAGTTTTGGTAAATAATCTGTACAGAATCAGTATAATTACTGAACTTGCTGATAAAGTGAGTCAATTTTGTGAATTTGTGTTTAATTTACTGTTGGGAACAGTGTTTAATTTTCTAGCTCCTCTTACCATGTAGAGAGATTTTACTGAACTCCTCCTTGCAGAATTCCTCTAGTCTCTCTTTTAGATCAGAGAGAGATTTCCTCACTCCATCAAATGAGGGATGTTGATGGACAGTGATGCTGGAGGAGTCCTCACACCCAGAAGAGACACTCAGAGACTGGAAACTCTACAGAGACAATACAGAATTGAGAAAAACGAAGGAGGACAAGAGCATTAAATGTTCTCAAACCATGTTACACCAAAAATAACCTTAAGATTTTAGAAATATTTATTGTTCTCTTAATGAATGAAAGAACCATTTTAGAGCCTCTCTGAGGAGCAGGTTCCTCTGTAGGTGAGTGACTGTTACCTGGAGGAATTGGATGTGATCCTCTGTGACTGAAAGCTGCTCCAGCTCAGTGTTTCTCCTCTTTAGATCATCAATCTCCTGCTGCAGGTTCTCCAGGAGTTCTTCAGTTTGTCTCAGCTGGTTCTTCTCCTGAGTTCTAATCAGCTCTGTTACCTCAGAGCGCTTTTTCTCAATGGAGCGGATCAGCTCAGTAAAGATCCTCTCACTGTCCTCCACTGCTGCCTGTGCAGAGCGCTGTTAGGACACAGACACACAAGATGGAGCTCCATTTAAACACCAGCTATCATTCACTCTCTCACTGGGCCTCTAGATGACTGACTGTCCACATTGTGGCTTTGTAGGATCCCAAAGTGTCCAACACTGGACTCCTCACTGTCTGACTGGAGGAGAGTCTGAGTGAGCTGTGAAATAGCTGCTCCAGCAGATCTCTGCCCACTACTCACCTTAAGAGTGACCACAGCCTGTTTCAGCTCCTGCAGCTTCTTCTCTTTCTGCTGGAGTCTCTGCCGGGATTTCCTCTGAACCTCCTTCAGCTGATTCTGAGAAGAAATCACTTTTTTGTGAGTTTAAAAGTTCTACATACAGCATTTTTAACTTTCTTTCCGTGCCTGAGGCACTTGAATGTAACTGCTGGACCATTTAAGGTGGAACGGGGAATTTTGAACAAGAAGCTGGCAAAAAAGAAGCAGACCAGCTTCATCGAGAGAGTTGAAAGGCATGAAAAGGGATGAGGAGGTTGCCCAGTTTCTGCTTAACAGGTGGGCGATATTAACTTATTTTTTGCTGTTTCACAGAACTAATAGGTCAGTATTATTTTGCCTCTTTTGCTAATGTTTGTGATAGCAACTGGCTAGCTTTGTAGCAGCAATTGTAGCTACACCCACAATCTATCTAACGTTAGTTATGTTACTTGCTGTGTTGCAGTTTGCTCTAACGTTCTGTCATGGCATTTGTCCGTAGAACATTTGCCAAGGTTTTTATGGACAAGAAGATCTTAAAAAAACAAGTTTGCTAGCCCAGTGTCATTCGCCTTGGCAATGCATGTCCATGAATTTGGGGGGGTTGGAGCTTCTGAAGGAGCACCAAGGAGAGAGGGTGTACTTGTTTTGCTGTTGAGCTTAAATATCAAGTCATTCTCCAGAATCGTATATTGCACCTTTAAACTTAACATTAACTTTAAATTTAAAATTTAACATTACTGACAGTTAAAGAGTTAAAGTTCACTCGTGTGGGCACTACAGAGTGATATGGGCACTACAGAGTCATGTGGGCACTACAGAGTGATATGGGCACTACAGAGTCATGTGGGCACTACAGAGTGATATGGGCACTACAGAGTCATGTAGGCACTACAGAGTCATGTGGGCACTACAGAGTGATATGGGCACTACAGAGTCATGTAGGCACTACAGAGTGATATGGGCACTACAGAGTGATGTAGGCACTACAGAGTCATGTAGGCACTACAGAGTGATATGGGCACTACAGAGTCATGTAGGCACTACAGAGTCATGTAGGCACTACAGAGTGATATGGGCACCACAGAGTCATGTAGGCACTACAGAGTGATATGGGCACCACAGAGTCATGTAGGCACTACAGAGTCATGTGGGCACTACAGAGTGATATGGGCACTACAGAGTGATATGGGCACTACAGAGTCATGTAGGCACTACAGAGTGATATGGGCACTACAGAGTGATGTAGGCACTACAGAGTCATGTAGGCACTACAGAGTGATATGGGCACTACAGAGTCATGTAGGCACCACAGAGTCATGTAGGCACTACAGAGTGATATGGGCACCACAGAGTCATGTAGGCACTACAGAGTGATATGGGCACCACAGAGTCATGTAGGCACTACAGAGTCATGTAGGCACTACAGAGTGATATGGGCACTACAGAGTCATGTAGGCACTACAGAGTGATATGGGCACTACAGAGTCATGTGGGCACTACAGAGCTGTAAAACTGCAGGAAGAAGGAAGGTATTTTCTAACAATTGATTAATTTTTCTTTTCTATTACTTAAGCTAAGTAACAACACATTGCATATTCAATAATTTGATGAACCGACACAACAGTTTAAATATAATATCTGATTAATGCAACTGATGAAGTTTAATAATATAATCAGGTTAAAGATGTTCATGTCTCACCTGTTTCTCAGTTCTCTCAGCTGCAGCTGCAACTGTATCGTGGCCTTTGTGGTCATGCATCG